ATTTCATCTGGAGTTGAGTCACACATCTGGAATGCAGGATAGCAAGCATTGCTTGGTGATACATAATCAGCGTTTGTAGAGCCATCAATTAATCTTTGCCCCATTTCAACAAAAAATTTATCGATGCTGTTAACAGTTTCTATTTTTTCCGTCAAATCAAGTTTCCCTTGAAGGAGATAAGATTTATTAGTACATGGTTTGACAATATTATTGATTGTATTCCATTTTTCTTTAATGGTTTTACAACTTTGGAACTTATTTTCAAAAAATTGTTTTTCTTGTGTTCGTTTAATTTTTGTAAAATGATTTCTATACATAGTATATGTCTTTTTATTATCAGCCGTTGGATTTAATAAATATTTTTTATATAGAGTGTTTTTATGGATGGAACAGTTATATAATTTTATATTCATCCATGGCTTCCTAAAGCGGTCCCTACGACTTATCATGGGACAAGCGACGTCTATACAGTTCATATAAATTCTAAAAAAATTATCATAATCAATATTCAAATCAATAAAGTCTTGGAGTTCAGGCCACTTTATGCCAGACAGCATACTATTGGCCTCTTGGATATTCTTTTCATCAGTTAATCTGGTATGGATTAAGGGACGTTTACTACATTTATTATTACATTTATTATTTTTATGCGGAATGCATACAAAAATAGGCATATGATCAGTGATATCCTCACAAATTATACCTTTTATCAAACTACAGTTGTCATTAGTTAAGATATTGTCAATGACAGTAGAGCTTGAATCAGTAATTCTTGTAGGTTGGTTGATTAAAAAAACAATCCAAGACCAGCCATACTATTGATAAAGTTTCGTGAATAAGCATTGTTAACTGCCAGATTTATATTAAAATCCCCCAAGATATATAGTTTGGATTTGCACGCAGGCTTTAATGTGTTGAATAAAAAGTCAGAAAGCGACAAAATAAATTCATTTATGTTGGCATCAGGTGGTTTGTAAACGCATAAGAAGTAATGCTTGTTACCATTTATATTGGTTGTAATGCCCGACCATTCAAAAAAATCAGACGAGTATAAAATGCTATTGTGTAAGTTAGAATAAATAATAGTTCTGTTTATTAAAAATCCTGTACCACCACCTTTCTTATTTATTCTGTTGTTGCATACAAGTATATACTCTGGAAATTGAATGTGCGTACTATTATTAATTTCATTGTTTGTAAACCACGTTTCACTCAAGGCTATAATTGCTGGTAGGATACGCATGCCACATATGAATAAAGATATATCATTTAAATGCGCGGCAAAACTGCGACAGTTTAAATGTATAACATTTACATAATGAATAACAGATTTATGACAAATTAAGTTATTAAATTCAATAGTTGAATAATAATTTGATAAGGAATTTAAAAATCTAAAATCATAATTTAAATCCACGACAATGTCATAAAAATTATTCAGAATCTTATCATTAACATCATCGTCGTCATTATTTTGTAAACCAAACTCAATATCTTCATGACCATATATATCAATTTCATCATTACTATTATCATCAATATTATTCACGACAATTTCACTCATATCAACCCCACTACGAACATCCCTCACAACATCATCACTCATTTCAACCCCACTCCAAACGTCACCCATAACATCACCACTCATATCGATCACACTACAAACATCATTCACAGCATTACCACTCATATCCACCACACTACAAACGTCACCCACAACAACCTCGCCAACAGCCGAAGCATCAACAGCACCAGTATTTACTAGTATTCACTGTACATTTGTAAACATCATTTGCTTTAATATCCACAGCGTCAAATCCTAATGTTTCATCATTATTAGTATTAAAAAAGTTATCAGTTCTAACAATATTCACCAAATTTTTATTAGAACTTAAGTTTTTTCCATTCATATTTCCACGCATGTCATTCATTGGAAAATCACAAGTATACTTCGCAACATCATGCACCATAGTAGACTCACCAACCAGATCAAAGCCTCCGTCCCCAACAGTAGCACCGCAACATTATCATCATGCAACCCACCATCACTCACAAAAATAACATTACCATCGGTAACTTTTTCATATTTATTTCCATGTGTGTCATTTTTAGCTACTAATGTTTTGACAGAATCCAATACTCTACAAGTTTTTTTCATTAAGGTTAGTTTTTTCACGAAAAATTTCCCTTTTCTTATCAAATTGCCATTCACGAACTATTACATGCTCTAGCATGATTTCAGGATCCTTTATCTTCTCTGAATCTTAGCTGGCAATGCAAACTCTAAAAGTTGTTGCTTCTTTTTCTTCTCTATTTTCAACAGACGTGTGATTATTTGAATTGTCGCCTTCGTTCGAATTTGCTGAAACTGATGAATTCTTGTTGACTGATTTTTGCACAGGAAAACAGGATATAACGTTAATACCATTGGAAGACAGGTAGTCAACGACATCATTTTTATGGCAACTTTTGATGTTACTGAGACAAAATACCTTTTTTTAATGAGAGGTTTGTCCGCTTTAAATGTACTATTTTCAACCACTTTTTTGCCAATAATTTTCACTCGTGGTTTTTTTGTGGGTACGTCATATTTGGTCGCTGCTAAGAGAGGCATTTTACCACCGTCCTTCGTGTTATTGCCAATAATGAAACTCCTGGGTTTATTGTGGTTAGCAGTTATAAATGGTTCCTCGTTTTCAGTTCTCGGCGACTGAAGAATTTCAGACCAGAGAGGTTTATTCAAAATTGCTTGCTGTGTTCTTTCAAAAACAACATTTTTGTTTTCATCTTTTAAATTAATATTATTCAAAGCTGTTTGTTGTGTTTTTTCACGTTCAACGACTTTACATTCATTATTTAAATTAAATTTAGATTTTAACAAGTTTATTTCCGAAGTATTAGCAGCAGTAGTTTCAATAGCTTTGTCTAACAATAACTGTTGTTTACTTAGTGTAGACATTATTTCACAACTTATTTTTCCGAAATTTATCGTTAAAAAATTTTCAATTTTAGGAATTTTATCCAATTTAGCACTAACAAAAATCGGGCAATTGTTCCATAAGTTGTTATCCTTTAAATATTTCATTAACCAAATACATTCTAATAATTTGTCAGACTTCATATTTCCACGTGCTGGCGGTTTTTCAATTTTATCCGCTTTAAACGTATAAATTTCGTTTTTTAGAACTTTCGTTGCTGAAGTAATATCGTCATGAGAATAAAATTCAGAAACATTATTAATGAACGAATCATTTTGAACCGAATTCCAATTATTTTCTAGAAAATAAAGTAATTCATTCACTACAAGTGACCTCGCCGCCATGTTCATAATCTACAAGGTTTAGACTTCAATACCATTATTCACGGCGTCTTCGGCATTATTTAACTTGTAGTTGAGTTTCTCAATTTTTCTAACGAGACTTATCATCTTGATGAAGTTTATTAAAGTTAAATAAAAAGCATTTAATATTTGACATTTTTGACAAAACATTATCAATAACGTTATTACTACAGAAAAGCTCTTTTCGGCATCGACTGCCATCATCAGTGTATATATATATATATAATATATATATATATATATATATATATACTATATATATACTATATATATATACTATATATATATAAATTAGGGTGAGACTATCTAATAGAAAGTATTATAAAAAATATCATAGCATTTGCATGCGTTTTCAAGTAGCAATTGAGTTTTTCAACTTTTCGTACGACGAATTTCAATTCATTATCAAGTTTGTTCAGTTCATAAACAAAATTTTTATTAATTTTTTGCGTTTTCCATTAAATATTCATGTATATTCCAACATTAAAAGCTTTTTTTGACAATCATATATCAGTGTTGAATACGGTTTTTGTTTTTTCTGTCAGTTTATATAGGTTTTGAGTGAATTTGTTAAAGAGTGTCTTCATTAAGTGAATTTGTTCGAATTCTGACTTAGTCGGTAGAGCTCCAGTAGCGTGTTGTTGAACAATTATTGCTGGACGTCTTTGTTCGATGAGCATAAATTCTGCAACCCTTAGATTGTGTGGATTGTTGTTGTTGTTGTTGTTGTTGTTGTTGTGAATTATTTCAACGTCGTTGTCAAGTACCTTTGACAATTTGTATAATTGATCATTTTTGTGTTGTGTTTTTTTCAGGTAAATCTTTATTGCTCCTTATTGAACATGCATGGTAAGCATGGTAAGCCTTCTTGATAACTTGGTTGTTGTCATCTAGATGTATTTAAAGTTTTGGTGCCAACACTCACTAATTTTGCATTTATACGAGTATAAATATAGAAGGTAGAAATAATTCACTACAACAACAAACACAACACAACCCTAAGGATTGCAGAATTTTCGCTCATAGAACATAGACGTCCAGCAAAAAATATTCAACACGACGCAACTGGAGCCCTACCGACTAAGTCAGAATTCCAATGAATTCAATCAGTAATGAAAGACTTTCAAAGGTGCCACGCATTATTATGTGACTGTCACTCAGTCTCGTGCTGACTTAAAATTATTTTAAATATTTAATTTTTATCAAGACAAATTTTTAACCTTACTTATGAACAATTAAATTTTTAGAAAATATTCGTATGAGATCCAAACTTCTTCAACCGTGCTCGCTCAATTAGACACAAGCAGCTCACTAGGTGTCATTAAGTTTCGAAACTTTGCTATTCCAAACAAACAAAATCAAACATGTACTTTAATTGACAACTAACATTGAAAAATATTATTTTTTTTAAAGTCAAAACTTGAAAAGACTTGCCACAGTGTTGCAGACCAAAAATTCATATTTATTAAACTATCAACATTGAAACTTTTTCTATCAATTTTGCTTTGTTATTTAGACAATTTTTAGCTTTGGTTGCTTAAAAACCAATTTTTTTCTAAATTATTTATGAAACAAACAAATTTACAAATGCTTTGCGTATATGAAATTCAATTTAGCAACATTTACTCGCAATGAATTGTCTACCGAATGCAATCTACCATCAAAAAGACAATCTCTATGGTCTAATAAAACATTTAACCAGCAGAATATCTTAATCCTTCTGCTTAGTTTTCTAAACAAAAGTCACCCTGTTAAATACGTTGATATGATGATAACATTTAAGATGGTGATGGTGTCACTAATGATAACGATGATGAAAAGGAAGTTGTCGTTCAGGTGATTGTGATAAATAAGTTTCAAGTTAGTTTCAATGAAAAATAAATTTAATTGTAAAATAAGCACTAAAAATAATTCAAACAAAGCAGGAACGCCCACAAAGAAATCGAATAGATAAACGAATGAACAAACACACCAAAAACGAAACGAACGAACGAACGAACGAACAGATAGACGACGAACGAAAAAACGAACAAACAATATGCCTGGGATGCTGTTGGTCTCTAATGCAGCATCCATCTTCATTTCAAACTTCGATACGCTCTTGCATTCCGTTTGAAAGGTCATTATCGCTTATATATACATCCATGCTTACATAGACACACCTATATGTATGTTCTTTTGTTGCAGCGTTCGTATTAAATTGTCAAAAAAAGTCGAATATATCGTCTAATATTAATACATACACATATTTATTTAAATTAATTCATCTAAATTTAATTTATTTTGAATTATTAATATTTAATTGAGATGTACGTGTGTACGTGTGCGTGCAAATGCAATAACATCAATATAAATAAGACCAGTCGTTAATTTGAATGTAAAATGTTAAAAATGTAAAACGGTTCTTTGAAATTTCATACTGCACCACTGCTCCATCCAAATACATCTCTATGAACTCCATACATTTACCCCTCTACTTAAACGTTAAATATCGTCCATCGATTTGGAGAATGTTTGCCTATGCAAATTCATGTGAGTGCGATTATGCAGGCAAGATATTAATATCAATATCCACACGCACACGTTTATGTTCATGGTACAATGCATGTTGTCGCAGTTCTGTTGTGCATACATATATGTTGTTATTACCCATGTTTTTGACAATTTTTTAGCAGAATTTTTAGTTAAAAAATTATTCAAACTGATTAAAACATATTAGGAGATCCAATTTTGAAATTTTTAGATTTTCTTCTAAACAATTGAGATAAAAAAACTAGCATGACGACGATTATGATCTTGATGGTGAAGAATATAACACTGATGATGACGACAAAAAAGCTTACGACAATGATGATGATGATGATGACATTTACGATGATGACGATGATGAAATTAATGCCGATGACGAAGATTATAATGTCAATGACGATGACGGTGACGATGATGTTGATGATAATAATTATGTGGAGATGGTGAAGAATAAGATGATGATGATGACGAATGTGTCCCGTCAGAGAACAATAGTTAGGCTAGGCGGGTTGGTAGGATTGCCCGGAATAACGACAACAGATAGCTCGTAGTAATGCGACGCTTGATTACAAGTTGAAATTTGGAATAAGTGGCACTTGCTTCTATCTACTCATCTGATGATGATGACGACGATGAAGATGACGAAGATGATCGTGATGATGTTTTTGTTATCAGAAAGTAATTTTCAAGCTTGTTAGGTAGTACTGAGTTGGGATCAATTATACAATCAACATTATCACGCATCATCAACTTAAATTTAAAATCTAAATATATAATTTTTCTATTCAACGCATTCAGGATTTGTTTTTCTTTTTCTTATTAAAATTGTATTTACACAAAAAGATTTTTATAACATAAAGAAGTAGACCTGCTAATTGTCAAGTACTACAACAGCGCTTACATTAAAAACACATTAACAGCAACAACAACAGTTATTACAATAACATAAAGAAAGCAAAAAAATGAAATAAAAAGGTGCGCGTTATAAATTCCTAGAAGAGAAAGCATACGTTTTGTTGCGTTTCAATAGTTTTGTAGCGTGTATGCGTGTCACGTTAATTGCGTTATTACGTTAATGTAAGAAAGGCCTTTTGTTTCCGTTGTTTCAATTTTTGTTGTTTTGTCATTTGTCGTTGTAGTTGTTGTAGTTTTTAATGATTGCTTTAGTTTACAAATTTGTGGTTGTTGTTTCTTTGTTTTTATTATATAATTATTTTGAAAAATTTTTTTTCCTAATTTATGTATCTCGCTGATGTACATATTATTCACTTATATCGTAGGCAATTTTCCTACAAGAATTTTAATTAAAAATCATTAAACAGTTAAATTAAAATTATTTACAATACAGTTTAAACTGTTGAAAAAACGTTGAAAGAAAAAACTAAAATGAAATCATGAACTCCTGATGAAATAAAGAGTTACTTGAAATATAATTCTTTGTTTCTACCGAGAATTATACTTTTTAGATTGATTGGAGAGTAGTTTATCATATACAGTTTGATTAATTGATTTTCCTATGTCTTGTTCAATTTGGCACGTAACTTTAATTTAACAACATTTTAATTCGTTTAAGAATTTTGATTGATTTTATGAATATTAAACAGTAGTTTGATTTTATTAATTGATTTAGATATAATTATTGCTGTCATGATTAAACATTTTAAAATAAATAATTTAGTAATTATTATTGAATCATTGAAAAATTTGTTTAATTAATATTTAACATTGAAGTTTAATCTGTAAAAATGTTTTATTAATGTTATTCTTAAAATTTTTTATTAAATCAATTACACTTTTTTCAATAAATAAAATGCAAAATCTTATTTATAGCTGTACAAAAAAACCTTTTAAAATATAAAACCCATTAAACGTTTTGATGCTAATAATTCAATCCTTTTCCCACATCACATCACATGCCAACTTCTTAAGTTGTCTAACTACACTAATGTAATTAATATCAAAAGAGGAGGAAATGCTTTTATTTAAGAGACCATGCGTTGACAATAATACCATCAGATAAAGAGAGAGAGAGAGAGAGAGAGAGAGAGAGAGAGAGAAAACATTAAGAAAAATTTGTCACGGAGCCTCAAATTTCATAATCTTATTAGAGTTGCAATTTGATGTACGCCAGTCATTTATAATGAAACAAAACCAGAAGAACTTATTCAGGTGCTGCACAACTCAACAAACGACAACATGCTACGAATATTGCAGTCATTGTTTGTATAAACACAAATTTTTCATACGTGAAGTAAATAAAAAAACTGTATATATATATAAATACATAAATACAATTTTTTTAATTATCAAAATATCAAACATGTAGTGAATAGAGAATAAATAATTTTCATGATAATTTATTTTTTTAGGAAAATAAATGTTAGGTTAAAAAAACATTTGCTAAAAAAATGTGAGACAAACAACTAAACCATTTGCATCAAGCACAAAAAAAC